GATTTAGGATGATACACATTTTTAGAGAGGCCAATTCAGTTGGTGACGGCCTCGCTAAAAGGTGGCCTTAGGGGATTCAGAAGTTTTACTCTCTTTATATTCTTTGCCAGAACTGTAAAAGGATTGTCGATACTAGACTAACTTTCCTTTCCATATTTTAGACGTCGGATTGCTTGATGTAATTGTGGTTAGCTCATACACTGCCGTTTTTTCTTTTTTTGGAGATTAATAAAATAATGAGAAGGGACGAATCTAGGGAACTATATGACATGTATGTTCATCCCTTGGGTATACCTTTGGGTGCATTGTATTATCTAGCACTGGCTGACTTATAAAATAGCTCTTGAGTAGACCCCTTGAGTATTTTATGAGTCAATTGGGACCTAAAAATAGTCTCTAACCCCCTTTCTTTGCTTAAAAAAAATGCTAGGCGAGAGATATATAGAAAATAAGGAGAATAAAAATTGGATCTCGCATGAGAAGGGCGCAAACGGTTTACCATCCTTTAAAAAAAAAAAAAATCCACTCCAGTGGACCCCACTTAAATGTGGGTAAAACGTCCCTTACAAGCCTTGGTGGGAATCGAATCCTGGTATATTACTAGGAAAGACAGCAACCTAAACACTAAGCTGTCATTCAATTCCCAGACGGTTTACCACCCTAAACCCTGAACCCGTCTTCCAAAATTGTTATACTTTTACTTAATTTCACCTCCAATTCTTATTCTGTTTGGGTTTAGACTTTAGGGGAGCTACTCACAACTATAAGTTAAATTAAAATATGAAAAATTTTGTTCTTTTTCGTCTAAAATAGAAGAGTGTGATTCATTACAAAATAGATTAATACATGTCAATTTAGTAATAAGGCCAATACTTTAAACAAATTGGTGATACAAATAAAAAACGTACAAAAGGTAATAAGATAAAGATCAATGGTGTACCAGGTGTAAAAACATAGAATTACGTTTTAGATTGACAATTGTGAAAACTATCATTTTAGAATTTTGTCATTTATCATTAATAATTATCATAATTTACTATATATTCTCAACTAGATTACCTTTGACCAATTAATACAATTAAGTAACAACTACACTCTTTTATTTTTAGTTATTAAAAAGGTTGAGCTTCCCAAGTGCTCTAAACTCAATATATGCCTTGGAAATCCACTAAAACAACAAACATGAAAACCCTTTTCTCAATACTAATTCTTTCATTTTGTCTTCCTCAACCTCAAAAAGTGGAGTCATCTTTCAAGATGCATCATGTGATAATTAAAAATGGAATATCCGATCCTCTTCCGCTTTCATTTCATTGTTATTCTGACAAAGGTGATCTTGGTTTTTATGTCCGCAAATTCAATGAAGATTACAGGTTTCAGTTTGATGTCGACATTGCTCCAAATTTTTGGTGCCACTTTTGGTGGAACGAAAAAAATGCGACTTTTGAAATATACAATAAGGATTTGTTGCATAACTATTGCAATGATCCTATTGCTAGGACGTGTTTTTGGGAGGCTCAAAGAGATGGATTCTATCTTGGCAACAGAGAAAATGCAGAAATTTTGCGGTTTATGCATCGGTGGGATTTTTAATAATTATCATTTTTAGTTCATCAAATCCTCCCTCAGCTGTTAAGATTTATTTATATATGAATAATATTTACAAGATTTAAATTTATTTTATTTTTGTCTATTTTGATAACAATTCACTACTTTTTACTCGTTGTTACGCAGAAAAGTTTAACTATTCTAAGCAACAATATGTAACAAAGTTTGCCAAATCTTTTAACGTCGTTGAAACATTATAGAGTGAATTTTCAAATTTTGTACTCCCTCAGTCGGATAATTATTGTCCAGTTTCAGTTTTTATTTTTAGTTCAATTGTACTAAAAGCAAAATCTCAAAATGAACAATAATTTTGGGACAGATGAAATAACTTATTTGGAGACTATTTCCAGTAATTTATTAATGCAATTATGTGTTATGATAAAAAAAAAAAGGAAAAAACTTGTAACAAAATGGTTGATTCGCCAATAAAGGAATGTGGAGAAAACAATTGATTCGATAAAGCAATTTTAGATTTGGACCATACTCACTTTTGACCACTGACTAATAGTAATTTCGATCACCATTTATTTTTTCATTCGACAGACCGTTCATGGAAAGTAAATCAGAGGTCAAAGGGTTAATTATCCTTATGGTGCGTTCTCTGCGCCGTAAAGAGAATGGTGCAATGGTAATCTCATTTCTTGTCAAGAAAAGTCAATTCATTAAAAAAATTTACAATTTCCTATACAATGCTTAGAAATATTAAGCAATCATAATCATATTCCCATTACGTTGTTCTTTTTTTCTCAGAAAACGGTGAGAATGCAAAAAATAATATTTTTCAATAAATTTAAAAATTTTCATTTTTTTTAAAAGACAATAAAAAAGGCCTTTTCGTTATTATTTTAATAGCATTAATGAGAAATAGAAAATTGGACAACATTTATTTCATGAAACACTTTATAAGAACCAATATAAGTAGACATGAACTTTAGTTCCTTGAACCTCCGAAATTCAAAATCACCTCATTAAGTAAACTTGAAATAATATATTTAAATGACTAAAACAGAACAAAATCTAGAAACATATATATAAAAAAAAAAGCATGTAAAAGTCTAAATCATTGGATTAAACTTCACATTCTTATAATTTCATGAGCATCTATATTGGTCTTGATAACAAAAATAGCTTGTAGTCCAAACCTGCGGAAAACAAATCTATATCACATCAATGTTGATAAACGTTTTTGAAATTTTTTATTTAATTGATAATAAGATATCTTTAATAAATATTAAATGTAAAAGATTGCTTCAATCCCATCATCACATAATATATGGTATTTAATTTCTTATCATTTATATTTTTACTGAACACTGTACTTAAGGTAATCATATTAACATTTCAATACATCCATTTCCATTACGGCGCAAAGAACGCACCCTTATAGGAATGTGGGGCTAGTGTTTAATATTTAGGATATTATAACTTGGGCGAGTTTTTGTCTTTTTTCTTTTTCCCACAAGAAAAAGGGCCTTCATTCCAAGATGGGTGATGGGTCCATTTGAGTTTACAAGGAGGTTGAACCGCTTATTTATGTGGTTAGGGCCTTTAGTCGGCCGGTCCAGACCAAAAAAACACGCTAAGAAACTGAAAACATAAACACCACAAAGCGGATAGAATCATCCTTTCTCTTCAGTTCAAGAAAAAATGTCGTTCTTACCCAAAATTTTGTCCTCGTCGTCAATCATACCCAATAGATTTTCGGTTAGCCAACTTTACCGTAATGTTTGAAATTTTCACCGATTTCGTCCAATCGGCCCATTTTCCATCCAAATTAATGGATCTCTGTTAGTTTTTAATAAAATAATAAATTTAATTACAAAAATACCCCAGCAATTTTTAAAAATTTTAAAAATAACCCCCAAAATATATAAAAATAACAAAACAGTCCCTTTTAACTTTTTATTTTATTTTTTTCTATTTTATTCCATTTTTCTCAACTACTTTTAATGACCATAAAAGTCTATTATATGAGTTTTAAAAAATATTTATTTATTTTTAAACTCTACCGTAAAAATTAATTTTTGTATAGTTGTAACCCATGATTGTATTTATATAAGCATGTTAATTTTTTTAATAATATAGTTTAGCAATAAAGAAAATATTTTTCTGATTTATTTTATTCTTTCTAACATAAAGATTAAAAACATTTAAATGAAACTACCATTCCACATAAAAATAAAATATTAGCTCAAATAAAAAAATATTAATATATTTTAGTGTATTACAATTTAACTCAAGAGACTATGACTTGCATTAATATAATTCATAAAAAAATAAATAAAATATAAAATAATTAAGACACTATTTTTCTAGTTTATTTTATTCTTCCTAACATGAAGATTAAAAACATTTAAATGAAACTAATATTCCACATAAAAATAAAATATTAGCTCAAATAAAAAAATATTAATATATTTTAGTGTATTACAATTTAACTCAAGAGACTATAACTTGCATTAATATAATTCATAAAAAAATAACTAAAATATAAAATATTTAAAACATTTAAAAAATCCTCCAAACATAAGTTTTCCTTCTTGAATCTAAAACCTATTTTCTATCACAACAACTTATTACCATATTGTTACGTCCATTCATTTATTTAAACTAAAATCATATAGAATAAGCTAGTAAGACTTCCTCTATAGTTAGATATATTAACATCTCAAATAATTATTACAAAATGTTAAATCCTTACATTGATAAGTATAAACATATTTTTTATAAATTATATTATGCCATGTAGTCTCTCTAGTTAAATTGTAATACACTAAACTATACTAATATATTATTTTTTATTTGAGCTAATATTTTATTTTATGTGAAATATTAGTTTCATTTAAATATTTTTAATCTTTATGTTATGAAGAATAAAATAAATCAGAAAAATAGTGTCTTTATTGTTAAACTATATTATTAAAAAGATTAACATGCTTATATAAATACAATCATGTGTTACAACTATACAAAGATTAACTTTTATGGTAGAGTTTGAAAATAAATAAAATTTTTTTTAAAACTCATATAATATACTTTTATGGTCATTAAAAGTAGTTGAGAGAAATAGAACAAAATAGAGAAAAATGAAATAAAAAAGTGAAAAGGGACTATTTTGTTATTTTTATATATTTTAGGGGTTATTTTTAAAATTTTTACAAACTATTGAGGTGTTTTTGTATTTATATTTATTATTTTATTAAGAAACTAATGGATGGAAAATGGGCCAATTGGACAAAATTGGCGAAAATTTCAAACATTAGGGTAAAGTTGGCTAACCGAAAACCTATTGGGTATGATTGACGACGAGAGCAAAGCTTTAGGTAGGAACGACATTTTTTCCCTTCAGTTCATAATCCACTGTCTTTGGTGAGTCCTCAATTCTCACAACCATGGATGCCATGGCAAGCCAACTATACTACACTTCCCCTGCAAAATTCCCACTGCCAAGAGGATCCTCAACCCAAAGGGCTCCCTTTTTGAGACAATCCCAGAGAATTAGGAGGACTTCGTCACCATCAACAACAAAGATATTAGCTTCGGGAGGAAAAGGGATTGATTTGTTGGGGGATTTTGGAGCCATAGACTATTTTCCAGCTGAGATTGAGAGCAGCTTAGATGAAAAAGTTATATGGAATTTTCGTACCGAACATAAGATTCTGATCCCAAATGTCACCGCTCTGTCCCTGAAAAAAGGGTGAATAAATGAGAGGTTCAAAAAATCCCAATTTTGGGCGCGTGCATATCACACTAAGAACACCTAGTTGCCTTATATAATAATTGATGGATCCCCTCTTTAAACTTTGACATGTGTTCAATTTTTGTGGGACTACACGAAGATCCACCAACTTTTTGATAAATTCTTTGGAGTTTTCTTTTTCATTTTCATTTTTATAAGGGTTCTTTTACAAATTTTAAAATAATTTAAAAAATATGAAAAAACTTGAAAATGATTTTATCTCTTGATTTGCAAAAGTTATGAAACAAGTGATATATGTAATTTATACTCAGCAAAATCTATCCAACGAGCTCACCGTATTAAATATTTTTTAAAAGTTTATAGTCTTGATTTTTATCTTTTTTTTTTAATTATATAGTCTTATTTTTTAATGTGTCTACTTTTTGTAACTGTATTGCTGGAATTTCAAAAAACCTACTAGAATTTTGAAACTATATTTTTGGAACATCAAAATATTATAACAGGAACTTTGTAATTGTATTGTTTGAATATTAAAATATATTCATGTTTAGGATTTAAAATACTTAAATTCAAACTGTATTTTTTCTTCACTCCTCCTCTCTCCGGTTTATGGTTTAGAGTTTGGAAGGGTTTAAGCATTTCCTTGATGGTTAGGGTCTAGTGACAGACGAAAACTCACATGTGGATTTAAGCATTTTGATGAGACACTAACCTAATTTAAATATTTAAATTTGAACCCTATTCTCCTCCCGGCATTTAGTGTTTAGGTTTTAGGAAGGTTTAAGCATCCCTTTAATAGGCATGGTCTAGTGGCGAATGAAAACTCACTTGTGAATTTAAACATTTTGATTATGTTACGAGACTTTAACTTAATTTAAATTCTTAACTTCAAATTATATTTTTCTCCTCTTCTCCCCCCCCTGTCGGTTTAGGTATCCCTCAACGGTCAGGGTCTAATGATGCAATATATTGCTGGCTGGAACCTTACGAAATACCTATAGGAATTTTAATTATATGTTGTTAGAACTTCAAAACATAACTACAACGATTTTGAAAGTATATTATTGAAATTTTATTAAATTTTTACAAGAATTCTTGAATTATATTGGATGAACTTCAAAAAACAACCACATGAACTTTAAAATTATATTGTTGGAACTTCGATAAACATATTAAGAGAATTTTAGAACTATGTTGAAGGAATGAAATAACCACAAGACTTCGAAACTATATTACTTTAAATTCTAACAATATAATTTCAAAATTGCTATTTCTACTTTTTGAAGTTTCAACAATATAGTAACAAAATTCTAATGATTATCTTTCGTAGTTTCAAAGTACAATGGTATATTTTTTATGTACTTGACATATAGTTTCGAAGTTCTATTATGATTTGTAATTGATGTTCATGAGGAAATATTTTGATATTCCAGTACTATAGTTTTAAAGTGCCCGTGGTAATTATTTTAAAGTTCCAACAATATAGTTCAAAAGTATACACGTCAAATTCATAAGGTGGATTTATTAAAAATTTAAGAATATAAAATCATAGTGTAATTTGAAATAAATCTTTAAGATGTATCTCGTTGGACAGATCTCAACGGGCACTATAAATTACATAAATATATATATATATATAACATGTTTTAAATTTTTCATGGATTAACAGATGAAATCATTTTGAAGTTTTGGATGCTTTTCAAAATTCTATTTTCAAATTAATAAAAAACTCTCACGTAATTAATAGGAATCACAAAAAGATCCAGAAATAGTTTTGTAGACCTCCCGTGTGGCCCTAAATTGTAACACATGTCAAATTTTGAGAGGGATTTCACAAAATCCGGGTTCATGAAAGAATTTGCCAAACTAATTACTAGTTTTTTATGCTATGCTCAAGAAATATCTACAATTCATTTCGAGTAGCTTTAATTGTTTATGACTCCAATATACTTAGGGAGTGCCTGGTTTACCTATAAAATGAAATGAAGTAGAATAATACGAAACACAAGAGTGATACCCACCATGTATGTTATGTATGAAAGTATTGGTAAGATTGGGAATGAACCATTATGTGTGAGTGGTCAACCAAACACCATGCAATGATATGAAAGTAATGAAAATTGATTCATGCTCCTATATCAAGCGGCCCTTAATTAGGAATGTAAAAGATATTTAATTTTACAAATTAAGTTTTAAATAATTATATTCAAATATACGTTTAAATTCTAAAATGAATTATAGTTTTAATGAAGAAAGTAGTTTGTAACTTTCAATCTGTCATGCACATGAAAACATTTTAAATGTTTTAACCAATTGTCACACCCTTAAAGCACCAACAGTTCAGTAAGGAAAATATTTGTGAACATTAAGGAGATTGATATGGTTTTTGTTGCATCTAACTGCTGAGAGTTTGAAATGATAAATTTTATTTGGATTGGACATGAATTTGAATGATATATATATATTGGTATGCTTTCTTCTAGTTAAATTGACGGTAGGAATTATGAGATATCTGGTTGAATCAGTAACAAGAGTTGTGATGTTTTTTTAGGCTGGAAAGTGATTTCAATGGAACTAAATGATGAATTTCTAATTATACCAAGGTTAGAAACAGATATAGATACATGAAGCAGATTAGAGGTTTTAAGGTGTAGTAATTGATTTATTTGTGTAGTAGCAAGTACTTGCAGATTATGAGTCTTGGAGTATGAATCATGGAGTAATGATTGCACTGGTCATGCGTAACGCAATAAAAACAGAACTAGTCATGTATAAATGCTAGGCAAGAGATATATAAAAATAAGTAGAATAAAAATTGGATCTTCAGTGAGAAGGGCTCAGACGGTTTGCCACTCGTGTTGCCCCTCTTCCTAAATTGTTATCCTTTTACTTAATTCTACCTCCATTTCTTATTTTGTTTGGGTTTAGACTTTAGGGGAGCTACTCACAACTATAGGTTAAATTAAAATATGAAAAATTTTGTTCCTTTTTGTCTAAAATAGAAGAGTGCGATTAATTACAAAATAGATTAATATATGTCAAATTTAGTGGTAAGGTCAATAATTTAAATAAATATGATACAAATAAAGAACGTACAAATGGTAATAAGCTAAAGATCAATGGTGTATAAGGAGTAAAAACATAGAATTACATTTTAGATTGACATTTGAGAGAACTATCATTTTGTAATTTTGTCATTTTATCATTAATTGTCATAATTTACTATATATTCTCAACTATATTACCTTTGACCAATTAATGCAATTAATAACAACTACACTCTCTTATTTTTAGTTATTAAAAAGATTGAGCTCCTAGGTGCTCTAAACTCAATATATGCCTAGGAAATCAATTGGGTCCTATTATAATCACCCGTTGCCTTCACAGTATTCATCCACTAAAACAACATGAAAACTCTTTTCTCAATATTAATTCTTTCATTTTGTCTTCTTCAACCTCGAAAAGTGGAGGCCGATCTCACGATGCGCCATGTGATAATAAAAAATGGAATATGTGATTCTCTTTCGCTCTCATTTCATTGTTATTCTGACAGTGGTGATCTTGGTTTTTATATTCGCAAATGTAATGAAGATTACAAGTTTCAGTTTGATGTCGACATTGCTCCAACTTTTTGGTGCCACTTTTGGTGGAACGGAAAAAAGGCGACTTTTGAAATATACAATATGGATTTGTTGTATAACTATTGCACGGATCGTACTGCTAGGACGTGTTTTTGGTTGGCTCAAATAGATGGGTTCTATCTTGGCGACAGAGAAAATGCAGAACAGTTGCGGTTTATGCATCGATGGGATTTTTAATAATTATCATCTTTAGTTCATCAATTCTCCCTCAATTGTTAAGATTTATTTATATATGAATAATATTTACAAGATTTAAATTTCTTTGACTTTTTCGTCTATTTTGATAACAATATTGCTACTTTTTACTCATCGTAATATCAATAAGTTTAAGTATGGAGTAATCTACTAATGCAATTATGTAACAAAGTTTGCCAAATTTTTTGATGTCTTGAAACATTATGGAGTGAACCTCCAAACTTTATAACTCATTTGGAGTTGGGCCATTTTGAGTAATCGACTAATGTAATTATGTGTTATTATAAAAAAACAAAAAGGAAGAAGAAAAAACAGGTAACAAAATGGCTGATTCGTCAATAAATGAGTGTGGAGAAAAAACTGATTCCATAAAACAATTTTGAATTTGGACAAAACTCACTTTTGACCACTAATTAATAATTAATTTTGATCACCATTTATTTTTCGTTCAACACTTTTGGCCATATATTGACCGTTGACGGAAAGTAAATCAGAGGTCGAGAAGTTAATATTATCCTTATAGGATTGTAGGGTAGGTGTTGAATACTCCGTATTTGGTATATTTGTCAAAAAAAATTTCCAGAAGAAAAAGGGGCTTCATTCCAAAAGGGTCAAACTGTTGAGCCTAATTTTCTCATTTGAGTGCCTTAAAAAAATTTAAAAAGACTATTTTATCTTAATTATTATTTTTTTATTTATAAAAAAGGGAGGGGGCGACGAATAATTGCACCAGCCTTTCACGACTGGCGTAGGAGGAACATGTCACCCGTTCATGGGTGGCATGCACTTAAGGGGGTGGCGCACAAATCATGCGCCCCTGGTTTAGCGAGCAAACCGCTCGCCAAACCGATTGGGTGGCAGTCCAACCGGCGGCCACCCTTTTTTAAAAAAAATATTTAATTTATTTCTTTAATTAATTATTTAATTTATTTAATTCATTTATTTATTTAAGTATATTTATTTATTTGTTTGACAGTTATATAAATAATTTTTTAACTTAAATATTTAGAGAATGTTGCTTAATTACGTAGTAAATTTATCATTTAATTATGTAGAATTTTTTAAACTTAAATTAAAAAATTACTCCCTCCGTCCCATAATTATTGTCCACTTTGCCCAAAAAAATTTGTCCCAAAATTATTGTCCAATTTGACTTTTTATGGAT